ACTGGCGTGGGTCCCGATGTTGGCGCGCATGAGATCCAGTCGGCCCAGCTCGCGGGAGAGGTCTTTCTGGGATGTCACCAGGGCATCGAGGCGGGCAGTCACAGACGCTTCTTGGGAGTGTAGGTGGGACAGCGTGGCTTTGATCTCGGCGACGGAGCTGGCGTTGAAGATGTCGGGTTGTGGGGGAGGAGATGTATCTGTGGGTGAGGCATTGGTGCCTGGAGGGTTTTGGGATACGGCATTATGCCTATTGGCGGTTGCAGCCATTCTGGGCGCCATTGAATATCGCAAGTTGGTTTGTTGATGCCACGGCCAGTTGTAGGGGGGTTGCGGGCGGTGAGAGTGGGTTTTACAGCCTCAAGCTTGAAGTTACTGTGCTACGTCAAGACCAACGGGGTTTGAGACTCCAAATTGTTAGGACAAATAGAGCTTTGTCAAACGTGTCTTGAACCTTTTCTTTGTACTTCGTTTGTTGTCTTATCTGGCGCGTCTCAATGTGGTTGTGAATCAGCCCGACGTCATTTCTTTCCCCCACGCTCGCGATCCCATATCAGTTGCTCTTTTTCTGTTTCCCTTCTTTTTTCTTTCTGTTAACCTTCTCTGCTGCTCTTCTAGCTACTTTTATCCACAAGTCTCAAGACTTGACTTTTTATCTGTCAAGTTCTCAACTCCTCAACCGCCATCATCGGACGTCGCAAACCCAGACGTCCAAACCGGCGCATCATGGGCAACGAATCGTCGACTGAGGTGGATGAATTCGCAACCCCCACAGTGCTTGAGGCGCGCAACATCGAGGCGGTGGCCAAATATGTCAGAAAGCACAATGTGAAGAAAGTTGTGGTTATGGTATGCAGCGTGTATCTCCATGAAATCGTGCATCGAAGCTAACCAAGCATGCAGGTGGGAGCAGGCATCAGCACTTCAGCAGGCATCCCAGACTTTCGCTCACCTGACACTGGAATCTACGCCAATCTGGCAAATCTAGACCTACCAGAGCCCGAGGCAGTCTTCGATATTGGTTTCTTCCGGCATAACCCCAAACCTTTCTATGCGCTGGCGCACGAGCTGTACCCCGGACGCTATCGCCCGACCATTGTGCACTCATTTATCAAACTACTTTACGACAAAGGGATGCTCTTGAAGCACTTTACTCAAAACATTGACTGCCTCGAGCGCCAGGCAGGCGTGCCAGGCGAGAAGATCATCGAGGCTCATGGTAGTTTTGCGTCACAGCGCTGCATTGAATGCAAGGAGACCTTCCCAGACGAGGAAATGCACCAGATGGTATCTAAGGCCGAAGTACCCCACTGCCACAAGTGCAACGGCCTGGTCAAGCCGGACATTGTGTTCTTCGGCGAAGCCCTACCATCCGAGTTCTTTGATAGCCGCTCTCTACCGGAAGAGGCCGATCTGTGCATTGTCATGGGAACCAGTCTGTCCGTCCAACCATTTGCCAGTCTGCCTGCGATGGTTAGTCCAGGCGTGCCTCGTGTGCTCATCAACATGGAACGTGTCGGTGGCCTTGGGTCCCGGAGCGATGATGTGTTGGTGATTGGGGACTGTGACGCCGGAGTGCGCAAGTTTGCAAAGGCCCTGGGATGGGGAGAGGAATTGGAAGCGCTGTGGGAGGTAACCAACCCAGACCCGCAGAAAAGGGCGGAGGAGAATGCCCCGCTACAAACGCGAGATGAACGGCTGCAGGAGGAAGTGGATCGACTAACAGAGGAGGTCGATCGAACTCTGGGGTTGGCAGATGCGTATCAGAATAAAGTACGCGAAAAGCTGTCACACGACAAGGCACACCGCCAACCTGGGGGTCTCGACCATGTTTTCCCCCATTTGGCGCGTAAGCTGTCACATTGAACTTATGATTGTCATGAAATGTTTTTAATAAGCAGAAATAGGGAGAAATACGAGAGATATTCTTTTACTACGGAGTACGGAATATAGCTAATAAGCATAACGTAGATAGTCAACTTGCCAAGACATTGATCTCGCCGATCACAACGTTTGCAGTCAAGAACATACCTGATTTTTATGGGAAATACCTTGTTGAATACCCCCTAAATCTAAGACTATTTATATATGTTTTAATATTAGAATATTTATAGTTCAAATCTCCAGGTGCTATTAAACGATCAAAAGTCCCCCTTAACCCACCTTTGCCCCCCAATTGACTTTCTCGTTTCTCTCCGACAGTCCAAAACAAGACATCTACAGTTGCCCCACGTTATTTTCCATATCGTCATTCTCCTCCCCCCCCTCCTCCCACCCTTTTTTCCTTCCTCTCTTATTTTCCTCCCATAAACTTCATAATTCATCATGGTTGGAATTGGCCCCAAGCACCCGCAGTCCCGGAAGGGTGAGGCTCTTCAATCCCTGCTTATATTATTAAACTAACTAGGTGGTACAGGGTCCATGCACGAACTGCCTCAGAACTTGTTGGGGTCCATTCAGGACTTCGAGAAGGCTTTCACCGTCGACCGTTCCAAGCTGAAGGAGATCGTGAACCACTTCGTCAAGGAGCTCGAGAAAGGTGAGACCACGTATCCGCAGCTCTCCGATTCTACGCATTAAACGCTAACAAAAATAGGCCTGAGCGTTGAGGGTGGCAACATTGTGAGAACAATACCATTTCCCGATCTCAACAACAATGGACTGACTCTAGCAAATAGCCCATGAACGTCACCTGGGTCCTGGACTTCCCCGATGGACACGAGCGTGGAACCTACCTGGCCCTCGATATGGGCGGCACCAACCTACGTGTCTGCGAAATTACCTTGACCGAGGAGAAGGGCGCTTTCGATATCACACAATCTAAGTATAAGATGCCTGAGGAGCTCCGCACTGGAACTGCCGAGGAACTTTGGGAGTACATCGCCGACTGCTTGCAGCAGTTCGTTGAGACCCACCACGCAGGACAGAACCTCGCCAAGATGCCTCTTGGTTTCACTTTCTCCTACCCCGCCACTCAGGAGTACATCGATCACGGTGTTCTGCAGCGCTGGACCAAGGGCTTCGATATTGACGGTGTCGAGGGTAAGGATGTTGTTCCCCCTCTGGAGGAGGTCCTGAAGAAGCGGGTATGTTTACACTTGAGATGATGCTACGCTCCCCATGGAGGTTCAAAAAACTCACAGGGCTACAGGGTCTTCCCATTAAAGTCGCAGCACTTATTAACGACACCACCGGTACCCTCATTGCTTCCGCCTACACCGACACCGACATGAAGATTGGTTGCATCTTCGGTACCGGCGTTAACGCCGCATACATGGACAACGCGGGGTCCATACCCAAGCTTGCCCACATGAACCTGCCCCCCGACATGCCCGTCGCCATCAACTGCGAATACGGAGCCTTCGACAATGAGCACGTGGTCCTCCCCCTCACCAAATACGATGACATCATCGATCGCGACTCTCCCCGCCCCGGTCAGCAAGCCTTCGAGAAGATGACCGCTGGTCTGTACCTCGGCGAGATCTTCCGTCTTGCCCTGATTGACCTGGTCGACAACCGCCCCGGTCTGATCTTCAACGGCCAGGACGTCTCCAAGCTCCGCAAGCCCTACCTGCTCGATGCCTCGTTCCTCGCCCACATCGAAGATGACCCCTATGAGAACCTGACCGAGACCTTGGATCTCTTCGAAAGCACACTTAACATCCGCCCCACCCAGCCGGAGCTGGAGCTCGTCCGTCGTCTCGCCGAGCTGATCGGTACTCGTGCCGCTCGTCTGTCCTCCTGCGGAGTCGCCGCCATCTGCACAAAGAAGAACATCGAGTCCTGCCACGTCGGTGCCGACGGCTCCGTCTTCACCAAGTACCCCCTCTTCAAGGAGCGTGGTGCCCAGGCCCTGCGTGAGATCCTCGACTGGGCCCCTACCGAGAAGGACAAGGTCTCCATCCTGGCTGCCGAGGATGGATCCGGTGTTGGTGCTGCCCTGATTGCTGCCCTGACGCTCAAGCGTGTCAAGGCCGGTAACCTCGTTGGTATCCGCAACATGGATGACATGAAGACCCTGCTTTGAGTGGGATTGGTTTTGTAGTGGTGATGGTGACTATTACTATTATCTGATCCATGACATAACAGACCCTCACCGATGGGTTGGAGTACATTTTGAAATTGTGGCTTATGCCATCTGGCTCGGGGGGGTTTGATGAAAGATTTTAACGATATATCAATTCTGTGTATGTTAGCCTTAGAAGGCTCGTGAATAGAATATCCATAAGGCTATTGTTCCCTTGGTAACTATTCTGTATGTAGCCAGTATTATATGATCTCAATCATCTTTTGTCTTCCCTTCCTACTTGTATAAAAATCTTGACACTAGCGTGTGTTATTCAAGCATAATAAGGAATACCCTTGTCATGATCTGCATTGTCATACATTTCACTGTTCTCTCTTTGTTCGTGGCCAAGTTTGGGTATATCACCCAGAGTCTCTGATACCCGATTAGGCACAATCATCGCTATATTATAGAACATAGACACGCTCAAACCATCAATATAAGCCTCAGCGTCCACATCTCCACCCCCTTCCTCCCATCCACTTTCCAAACTGGTCGATTTATAGCCCCTGTTTAGTCCAGTCTCTTCGCTCGCCGATACAATGATTCTATTTGATATGATATTCTTTTTAGATGCGACTTATTCTTCACTATCATTGAGATCACAAACTAGTTTCCATCGGCAATAAACCCGTAGGCGCTTATTTGGCATCGCTGATTTATTATCAGATGGCACTAAGCCGGTCAGTCAGGTGAACTATGTAGAAAACCCCGGCAGAGGAAATACACTACATATATAGGTAGTATATATCTACTAATGAGATCAACGATAAATACTCAATCCACTGCTACTAAGATGTAGATAGCTAAGAAGGAGGATATAAATGTCCAAGATATGATCAATTGACGATATAAAACACCAGAACACTACCTACCTACATACAAATCTCACCTATATAACGATCAAACCCATCTAGAGCCACATACCCATATCTCCCTAAACCCCCGAATCCTCCTGCTCAATATTAAACGCCGTATCATACGCATTCCAAGAATCACAATTATCCCCTAGAGCCTTCCGATCAATCAACGGCTCAATCTCACTCTCCCTCTCCAAAAACTGCAACGCAAAACCCTCATCCGTATGCCACCCAATATGACAGTGCATAAGCCACGCCCCGGGATTGTCCGTCTCAAACGCAATAAGCAAAAACCCATTCCCGTTCAACATTGCTGTATCCCTCCTTGGCGGGTTATTTGTCGAAACACTCCCATTCCAGGGATTAAACCCCTGTGCCAAAACAAAGAAATCATGGCCATGTAAATGAATAGGATGCGCCACTGGGAAACTCGTGTTGATCATGAGATACACCCATTCGTGGGCGCGTGGCAGTTCAATCACGCCACTCGATGCGGTGAAGTTGGGTGTGTTTTCGTTGTTGAAGAGCTGGAGCAAGGTTGGGTCTTCCCAAAGGACTTGCATCGTCGTGCTGTTCAGATACCAGCGGAAGAGGTTCGCGCTGTTGCGTCCCAGTGTTACGTCCGTTAGGTTGTTCCAGTCTGCTGCTGAGACGGTTTTGGGAACTTGGGGGACTAGGCTGGAGGCCAGCTCGTCGACGCATTCGTCGGGGAAGGTGAAGGAGTTTGTTTTGGGTGTGCGCGGACGGTTTCCGTAGTACAGGATTCCTCTTATGTTGTCTGGATTTGCATTTTCGGAGCACGCTTCTTGGGGAATTGCACGGATCCAGAATGAATCGGCGATTTGGCGTTGGTTCGCTGTTACTATTACATCGTAGCGTTGACCTGTTGATAATTCTTTGTTAGTTGTTGGGGTTCAATTTGGGGGAGTTAGGGCTGGGGGTTTGATATCAAAAATTAAACATGACATACCCATTCCGATATTGATATAATCCGCTGTAAATGGCCTGATCGGCACAAAGTCCGCCGAAATAACAGTAAGCGTATGATTATCAATCATGAACTTCCAGTGCGTATCAACAGCCGAATTAACAATCCTCAGTCGATACGAAGACCCCTGATTAACCTTCATCTGGAACCGCGTGCCCGTAGAATTGGTCCCATTCCCAAAGACATTCGTCCCGTTAATCAACCCAGTATCCAAAGTTGGCGGTCCAACCGTCTGAGCCTCCAAGTATAGCTCATCAACGGTTGGATGCGACCAGTCCGTTAGGAACAGACTTCCCTTATCCACCTCGTAGTTCGCTGTGGCAGGACCATTAATCACAATCCCGCCAAATACACCCTCCCAAGCTTGCAGTCCAATGTGCGAATGGTACCACGACGAACCATACTGCTCGGCCCGCCATTTATAGGTTATGGTTGAGCCGGGGGCAGTGGGACATTGCGTGATAGAGACCACGCCGTCATTGCCGTTTGTGTGGCTTTGTCTGATTCCGTGCCAGTGGATGCTCGTTCCATTCTGGGCCTTGTAAAGGCTGTTTGTAACATGGATCACGACCCAGTCGCCCCAGTCAGCGAAGATAGTTGGGCCCGGGATTGTCCCGTTCACGGCCATTACTGGCCGGCTGAATCCATCTGGTGCCGCTACGAGCTCTTCGAGGTTGAGCCAGTACTCCCGTGTTACGCCTGTGTTTGGCACTATCTGGGTGTAGTCGGTGTTGACATCGTATTGGCACCATTTGGACCGTGTTCGGGCTGTGTTGCCTGCACAAGGTCTTCCCGTGGGCTTGTTGATCTTGGTGGTGTGACTTGTCTTGGTTGTGGTTGTGGTGGGTCTATGGTATTGTGGCTGGAGATTAGCCGAATTGGATGGATCGTGTGGAATGGCCGCAATAGAAGCACTCAGGCTAAGTGCCAGGAGGAGAAGAGCGTGGAGCTTCATAGTTGTCAGTTCTACCCAGACAGGGGACGCTGATAATCGCTCAATTCTCTTGCAGTCACGAATATAACTCTATATAGAGCTTTCAAGACCGAGAAAAAGCAAAATATTCAACTTATAAAAGAACGAATGAGACTTGCTGCTGATACACAACTAAGATAATTCTCTTTAATTTAAGCCACTATCTTATATATATTGGTACTGTACAGCACAACACGTGGAGGTTCTATCAGGATCAAGAACGCCATGTCTCTTCCCACGAGCTGTCCTGCATTCGTATCTCCTCACTGGGATATGCCGGCTAGTCCTACCGGCGATGCCGTGGGAAACAGGATCTTGTGATACACAACACGACCCAGCAGACGAGTGGCTATGGCGAAGAGTCATCGTCATTGTCAAGCTCGGATGTTGAGGCCATGTTCTCAGTGGATAGCGGAATAGTGAGACCAAGGCGCCCCGTATCCACGACAGTGACCGTATATCATTCAAACTGTAAGAAGATGGTCGGCTCGGGGAGCTTTCCAGAGGCTAAATCCTTGCGCTGTCTATCATACCACGTGCGCACCGGCTGTTTTGAGTCCACATATCTTTGATACTGCCTTTTCTCTCGTAATAGTACTATTGAGTATATAGAGAGCCTGGATATTCCATGCAACTAGGGCTGTGTCTCGGGTTATCAAAGCAAAAACTTGCAGAGAGGACCAATGACGGAGATTGACTATCGGGGATATCATTCTCTAGTTTGATCGCAGTCAGATCGGCTTGCAGGCCTTGCATTAGGGTTGTGCTCCCCGACAGGCTGTCCTGTTATATCTTGGTGTAACCCCTTTCAGCCTTAGAGTATACGAGAGTAAGCATCCCACGTGTGTGGATCTCGGGAATAAATATTGCTATCTTGCATATTTGATATTTCATTTTTGAGATATGCGGCTGGTTTGCTAGGATCGTTGATTGTTGCGAGAGTTTTGACGCAGCGCATGCATGGTAAGTGGAGGATTGATCTGACCATTGGGGTTGGAATAGCCGAGACCGGGATTTGGCCATGGACCACAGCCGGATGATGACAACGGGGGTGTTTCTCATTGACTGGGATCCTGGCAATGAGGTTGCAAATTACGTATCACCGTCAGCTCGTGCCAGTCCAGATCACAATCTTGGAAAATAGGAGAATAATCAGTGATAGAAACCCACAAATGTCATTGGGTAAGCTCTAGTGTGCTGCCTGCTTCTAATTACATTAAATTTTTATCCAATCGACTATGCTCTCATGACTGTTTCTTGTTCTATAAGTTTTGCTTAATCCTGACACACTGCCGTATACACCCCCTTTCCAACATATTGTATGGCTTGTTCATTGCAAGATGCTATTTTTTTCTATTCTTCTTCTAGCCTTTGGGTTAGTCTGCTCTGCGCATCCACTTGAAGAGCGACAGTCAAGGTCAACCGATTCATTCAAGCTGTATGCGTATGGGCCAGGCATTAGCGGTCTGCCCGTCTTCTACAGGAACGGTATCTCAATCCTCCCAAACTCCAAGAACAACGGCATTTACTAATTTATATGGCATTTACTAATTCATATTACATTGACCACAGGTACTGCTCAAGTTGCAGATGCGTCCAAAGTAGACACCACCACAATGGCTGCAATGACCCCAATAAACTGTAAGAACCCAATCTCTACTCTATGCAAAAGCCGCAAGAATTTACAGATCTTCATCTAACCATATACATGTAACAGTCACTGCCTCTACTGACAACACTTTCGTTGCACACCTCAGTTCCAGCACCAATTCCGCCGAGAGCTTCAGCGCCCTGGCGACCAATACCAACAAGCTGTGTCTAGACCGAGGAAATACGGACTCCAATCCAGTCAGTTTCACCGGCCCATCTGATACGGAGCAGTCAAACAACACCAAGCTCAGCAACGTGTGGTCCACGTACGGTAGCTACGTCCTAGTCACCGTAACCGGGGCCAATTTCTACGCGAGACAAACTGGTACGGACGGCTTGTACTCTCTGCTCTGGAGTAGCTCGGCTGAAGCGATGACCGATACTATACCCCTAGTTCTGCGGACTACTGAGCCGGCGACAGCATCTGTATTGACTTAGACGGGCTGGGGTTGGATATACTGGATTTTGGGGGAGTAGAGGGGAGGAGTTCTTGATACATAGCAGGAAGCGGTATGGTGGTGTGATGGTGGCGATGTAGTGAATCGATCTCGGCTTTTCATACCTGAAGGTTTTATTGAATACGATGTCGTGAAGCTAGTAACGTGCTATCGCATATCATCCCTTTATGTTTGTCTTGGCCGCATTGCAGGGGGGCAGGGGTTTAGCTAGCGCTTGCTATATGATTCATGGCATATAGGCTACATTCACTCGTTCCTGAACATGAGTATCCCGAATTCTCTAAATTATATGATGTAGTTCAATTGAAAATATATATCTCTCCAAGGATATGTGATTGGAACATGCCAATCTCCAAAGCACCGGTGGCTTCGGCTTTTGAGCTAAAAGCCGCAATATATATATAGCTCTTGTTTGGATCTTTGATTTTGATGTGGAGTTGTAAGTAGAAAATAAGTGTTGGATATGGCAAGGAAAGGCGAATCTATAGATAGACCTCTATAAACAAGTACTATCCTCGGGCAGCAACTAGCATGAGAACCCAATAGCAAACATATCAAAGAACAATAGATTCAAGAAATTGCTACACGACCCTATAGCTGATATATGCATGAGGGCAAACCACGCAGATTGTGTCAGACAAACGAAAGAAGTACATATACGAGACTTGCAGAAAACGCCTCGTTGCTGTGCGCAGCCGAAGGGGGAAGAGAAAGCCCAACAAACGATTAGCAAGCAAAGTGTTGGTTGTGAAGAGACCCCGGCATAAAACAAAGAATCCACAGGGAATAAAATAGAATAAAAGAAAAGACTAGGGAAATAGTGAAATCAGACCTAGAAACAGCAAGGCAAAGCAGATTGACAAAGAAAAAAGAGAACCTGATGCAAACGACAATTGATATCAAAAGCCAAAAGACAAAACTCCCCAGTTCTCCTAGACCCAGAAAACGCCAGAAATAACATAAAAACGTGCTTCTTCAGCAGAAAACACCGGATTTCCCATCCCGAACCCTTGGTAAATTGATATCCCGAATAACAAAAAACATAAAGCAGAACCCATTCTACATCTCCCATCTGTACCGGACCCTCCTGCGAAACTAAACCCTTGTCGATCGTTTCCGCAGACCAAATTCTTGTTCCTGGAGCTCTCGTATCAAACGAAGACTTTCCTCGTCTGCATCTTCATCCCCCGTGATGTGCTGAGTATGCTTGTGTTGACGGGGAGATAATGATGTAGGGGCGTGGCGGTGGAAGTGCTTTTCATACATCGGAGAGCTCTTCTTTGCATGTGAAGACGAGGGACGTGATGAAGGCTTCCTTGTCGATGCTGGAACAGGAGTAGTTTTGCGAGCCCCGATCGTGGAAGACGTGGCTCGTGCCGCTTGCTTCGGAGCCCGGGCTGTAGTTGAATCGGGTGCGAACCGATCGACGTTTCGAGGTTGGCGAGACGAATGACGAGAGCTGGAGTTGGGTGTGTGGAGATCAGTTGACACCTCCCCTTCCACAGACTGCACGGCCTCTCCCTCTTGGACCCCGTCCATCTCGTCGGCCAGCGACGTGGGCGGTGACACCAAGGAGGTGTTTGGCTTGGAAGAAGACACAGACACGGAATTTAATTCCTTTGCATCCACAGACTCGGTCTGGAAAGCAGGTGGTGATGCGTACAGAGCTTGATTCTGAGGTGCCTGATTTGCCTCAGGCAGATGCTTAGCTGAGTCAATTTGACTGAAAGGCTCGTGATCATAAGCATCCATCAGGTCATCTTGAGCCATCAGCTCATCACCATCATGATCAAAGAATACGGCAGGCTGTGTCATGGGCGAAGTGCTCTCTTGCTTCGCTTTTTTGGCTGTAGCAGGCATGTCATCCTCTTCAGCGGGGCGTGCTCGTTTGGCGGAAGCATTCGCACGAGGTTTAGAGCGTTCCTGGGCCTTGATTGGATCTATTCGACCGTACTCATCGTGGATGCAACGGCGCTGGTCTCAGGTCAGTAACAGGAAAAGGAGCAAAATAAACCTTGAGGGGTACTACTAACCTTGCTCTTCCGACAATCATCGCACGCCTTGCTACGCCCCTTTTTTCCTCCATTGGTTCCGTCAGGGCTCACATCAATGAGACGATTGGCGGCTATCGTGGAGTTGCCCATGACCGCGGATTGGAATCTTGCCGAGCTCTCAAATCGCTCCAGGTCAACAAGATGTCCATTATTTTGGAACCCAGTTTGCGATGCAATCGCTGCTAAAGAATTCAAAGCAGACACAGCATCCTGGGCCAAGGACGACGGCGTGCTCACCCCAGAGCCCGGTGTGAAGGCATTGACTGCGACTTGCCCGTTGAGCACCAGATCACCCGGTTCATCTTTGTGTCGGCATCGAATGCGTCGTTTGCGACAGGCGTCACAAGCAACTCGCTTAGGACCAAGACCCGAGCCTCGTTGCACAGCCCGGGGCTTGGGTGTAGCAATATCTTTGATGCTCGATTCTGGAACAATACTGAATGGCGCCGGTGTAGCACTTCCATCGGACTGCGCGTAAGCAAGGCTGCTGGCTGGTTGATTCGGGGTTGCAGGAGCCTCTTCTGAAGGCCACTGGACCGCTTGTCTTTCCGCATATGTGCGTTGGTTATCGACGTTGCGTTCGGATCGGCGGCTTGGTCGTCCTGCGGGCTTCTTGTCTGCAATAGAAACCTTGGGATTGCTTTCGATTACGCCAGGTCGAGTCCAGAGGGGCGCCTTTTCGTTACCACGTTTCCAGGCGACCCAAATTCCGAATTTCCTGATCATGTCCACAGGATCTCCAGTGCCTTTGGGGATGGAGCGTCTAACCGCGTTTCGAACGTCTATGGAGATGACTCCATCAACGGTATAACCACCCGCAATGAGTGCAGTTCGTAGCAAATACTTAGTTAACTCAAGTAAGCCCTCTAGCTCTGCCTGTGAATAAAAACGTGCATTGTGATGCGGAGAACCTGGAGGTTCCTGGTTGGCGCGTTCTCCAAACTCGTAATAAATTGGATATTGACGGTGGAAACGATAGTTCTCATCCTGCATAAATGCTTCCATCACATTTTGCGGGACGGGGTCATCATCCAGATACTTTTGAGCCGTGTACCACTGGATCTTTTGGAAGAAAGGGTATCGGAACTTCTTGGGCACTTTGGTCTCCTTTTCGATGTTAAGTATCTTGATTTGCATCCCGTAGTTCAGTTTGGTTAGGAAGTTGCCACCAATAACCAAACTGTTTTCCGGAGTCCAAACTGCGTGAATCCAGCCGGACGGGATCAGCATGGTGTCTCCCTCGGAGAGATCCACACGGTAGCACTCCTTGGTCTGGTTTCCAAGGAAGATCGAGTCTTGGGCGGGAGAGTTGCACCACTCCTCGTATTTCTTGAGGTGTTTGTCTTTGGGAGGAATGAAGAAGAAAGTCTTCTTGCCCTTCAGAATATGGTAATACACTGAAGATCCTCCAAAGTCGATGTGGAAGTCGGTATAACAGTCGGCAACAGACATCAGGCAGTAGAACTGCACTTTGGGATATTCGCCAATTGCCTTCAGTTCCTCTGGCCAAACAGCATCTTGCAAATCCAAGTCACGCACAACCTTCGGTCGCCGGATCAGTCTGCCGAGTTTGCTCTGCGATACCTCCAAACTGATGACATTCCTGACAGGCTTGTCCTGCTCATTGCTTTCGTAGTAATCGGCCCATTTCTGCATGTTCCACCTCTTGTCCTCTCCTTGCTGAGACTTGACATCGATAACTTCAACCCTTTCTTCGGGTCCGTAAAGCTCTGCCACAGCACGGACAGTGAGACCCCGTGGAATGACCATACCCAAGAGATCTTGGCCACAATCGGCTGTTTCTTCGATATGGGCCTCTTGTTCTGGGTGGTTCTCGAGAAGATCATCGAACATCTCCTGAGACGAAGCCTCCTGTACTAGAGATTCGAAGTCTGGATTCTCCGAGGAAACAGGCTCGGTCGAGTTCCAGCAGGCAGGTATCACAATAGGCTCTGTCCACCCATTTCCTCGCTCAAAGTATTCTGCTGTGACCAGCTCAGGCTTCATTCGGGGGAAATTCTCGGCTTGGAATCGGATCTTCCCTTGTCGAATGGGCTCAAGATAATGATGCTCCAACGAGTCAGTGGCAGCTTTGACGAGGCCTTGGTTCAGGCCTGCGTAGTCAATAGCTGTCCGGGCCCGCGAGGACTTGCGTACAAAAGTCGTTTGGCCATGAACCGATCGACATGGCCGACAGATAAACTTGTCGACTGTGCGGACCTCTCGATCGTTTTTGAAACCGGCACAAACGATATGGAACCATCCTTTGCACCCATCGCAACTGATCCACGTGTCTTCGTCCTGTTCCTCGGTTTCAACTGGAATGCGCGCTAGATGGCATGCCCCACATATTGCTTGATTGGTGTCGCCTTCTTCCTCTTCGACTTTTGGAGGAATGGGCAGAGACTTTTGTGGGAATTGAGGTTCTTGGGGATCGGCTGGAGGGTGTGTTCCATAAGCAGTATGATGGGGCGTATCAGCTGGTGAATGCCAGGCTTTGACTTCGTGCTCATCCTCCCAAACGATTGGCGGGAAAGTGCCAGAGCTAGTAGTTGGACGGATTCCACGGATCGCAGGACGGGATATGAAGGCTGAGCCGTCGGAGCGAGAGCGCATGCGGGCATGAGGTATATCCTCGGAATTGTGATTCATCTTGACATCGACCTGGTCAGGATGTCCAACGGCAGCAAACCCAACTCGGGACTGACGAATTGCATCGCCTGCGTAGTGGTGGTAGGTCTCGTCGATGCTGACTCGTTTAGTGTGGTTGCCCGGGTGGAAATTAGTAGGCCGCGCGAGATTGAGTAAAAGCTCTGCATCGGTTGTCATACTTTCAAGCCCAGCTGGGTGTGGGTTTTCTGTCAGCATTCCTGCCCGCGGGTGGTAGGGTGATGTATTTCTCGCCGACCGTGCCCGCTTCGTCGGTCGTTCAGACTCTGCGGGGTCAGGTGGAAATAAGGGAATTGTGGACCGAAGGCTGGGGGAGGGCGGATTGGGAGGGAGTGATGTAAAGGTAGGACTCGTTGCGAGGGCGATTGTCGCAAGTGTGTCGATAGTCGAGCTTGAGCGGCCATGGCCCGATCGTTGGTGTGAACCACCTTCTGCGGCGACATGTCGATTGTGATTCGAAGGACGTTGATCGCGATCAAGGCTGGCAGCTCGAGGAGGGCCGCGGCTGGCCCAAGAGGAGTGAAAATCGGCGGTTGTGGATGGAGTGATAGGTTCGACAGCGCGTAGAGGAGGGGACGGAGTACGGTACTGCGGCGGGCGGCCGCCGATGGGATTCGCGAATGATGCCGCGCTCATCATTTTCGCAACCCGGTTGAGAGTGTAGTTTGAAGAAAATTGAAGATGGAGGGTCGAAGGTGCGAAAAGATGCGCTTGCGGTAGGTGGGTGCAAAGCGGGGATACTGGACCACACGGGCTAGCGAGAGGCCGGCGCAGGCGAAGGGAATGTCATTCCTGGCAGGAGAGCATGCGCACTACGGACCGCAAGTATAAGATTGATATTTGATGAAAGATTGAGGGCGAAGCAGGTGGTCGACGGTAGTCGCGGAGCGTTGAGGGGGTTCGAATCGAGCGGCGGGAGGACAAAGGCGCCGAGAGTCGCGCCGCAACCTGCGGGCAGGTAGGGAAGGGAATCGAATGAGGTCCAGTAGCCAGGAATCGTTTCCTGCCAACTGGATGGAAAGTGACAAGTATGCGAATGGATGAAGCGCCGAAAGCGAGAGAGAAGCGGATGAGCGCGAGGTGTTGGGGCGAAGGAGGAAGCGGGAGTCGAGTAGTAGCAACTTCGAAGGTATGTATACGGTACAGCTGCGGGCTCCTACATTACGTTGTGTCCTGCTATCACTTTTACTAGAAAGTATTTGAATTGCATATATAAGAGAGGAAGATCAAAAGGCACTCATTAAAACATGCGATTGTGTTTACTTGGTTGTTTCCCCCCGAATGCTCAATTCTCTGTAGTCCAAAGGAAGTTGGCGACGCCGAGAGCGTCCGTTTGGATGATACAGTCCGATACCATTACAATACAGTCACGTGTGTCTGTTTGGCAGATCACCACACTCATCAAGATCACATGACCTGGTCACATACGGTTTAAGAACCAACTGCCACTAAACCGGGATAAGTAAGCGCACCGCCAAGACAAACCTCGTGGTTGTCCTTGCGCCTTGCTCGGATCTTCTGCCTCTTCGCTATTCCAACACTACAACTGATACCTTGCGTATCTTTCTTGTCAACACTTTCATTCAACATATTCAAGGACTCTCTCGCCTCTGAGAATGAGCCGAAAGCTCGCCCCCGAAGCCAATCGGTACGTGAGAATACTTTTTCCATGCCCCTCCCCCGATCGTCGACACAAGTGCCATTTTGCCATCAACTGCTTGATCGTTGGGTCTAGTAGATCCCTGACATTTAGAAGTGACTGGCGCTAACCTTTTTTTTTCTTCTTTAAAGGATTCTCTTCGCCAAGAACCTCAAGTATGTACCTGATCATTTCGCTGCTTTGCTCCGGCTCGCCCCCCCCCGGCGGCTCAGCCCTGAAACTCGCCATTTACAATCGCGATCAGATCGCTGACATCTTTACCAACAGCTACAACGTAACAGCGGAGCAACTGTTCGACCTGTTTGGCAAATTTGGCCCCATTCGGTAATAGTCACCCATGGTCTCGTGCCGGAACCCGATCTAATACCATCTCACTTGCAGTCAAATTCGCCAGGGTATCGCCAATACCTCCAAAGGAACGGCATTCGTTGTCTACGAGGACGTTCACGACGCCAAACAGGCATGCGATAAACTCAATGGTTTCAACTTCCAGAACAGATACTTGGTTGGTACGTATTACATATGAATCAAATGAGCACCGGGAATGATTTGGAGATGACTAACTTTGAGTGTTATAGTCTTGTATCATCAGCCAGAGAAGATGGTCCGTACGAAAGAGGACATTACGGAAAGGCAGGAGAATTTAGAACGGCTCAAACAGCAACACGGGATAGAATGATGTGACGAATTCTTTTTCTCTTCCCTCTGCTAGCATTTAGCTGCATGGTATTGCAACGGCTCTACTATTCAATCGCGGCTTGGTTGAGGGGTTTCCGGCGTTTTTATTCCCTGGGGTTTTTTTTCTTATTTCAGAGGGTTTGATGGTGGGCGAGGCTGGTTCTGGTCGTCATATATTGACCCAGAAATGATCGTGCGAACAACACGCCGGCGAGATCCGATTTCTTCTATGTTTATTCTATTTAACCATTACTACTATTACTCTCTTCGTCAAATCGACCCTCCACTTTGCTCCAACATTCTCATGTGCTATGGCTAGATGCTAGATGCTAGTTGCAAATCTTTCTATGAGTGCCACACCACTAGAAGTGACAAATGAGTCGAATCTTGAGCTGTTTTCGAGCTTTGTTTCATCTCTATCTATAGTGCCAAGCTGAAAACAAGGTCTGTCTATCTACGTAAGGCTGGCGCATCACCCGTGGACTGATCAGTACCCACTCTTCTGCAGGGGAATTTGAAGCTTGGCATCAATATGATAAAGATACACGATGTATACAAAAGAGATCAACATCAAGCTCAAGATCAAAGCAGATAGCAAAATAGAAATATCATGCCAAGACCCAAGACCCTCAAAATAGGCTTACTGCCATCCACCTGGGCAAAACCCTGGAAGGGAAAATGGCTATCGGCCTTGTCGATCCCGCTGCGGGGATCCTGACACCGCCTAGGGCGCAGCACCAGTACCAGCACCCTGCAGACTCACTTCCCTTGACCCTTATTCTTGCTCCATAACTTCTTTTTCCCCCCTACCTCTCAGAAAGGACTGCTTTCTACAAGTTCCAGTCTGTTCCTACGTATATCATCCGGTTCATTGCCACCCACCTCGATGTCACGCGTATGACGTTCGGTTGTCTCCGCCTTTGATAAACCTTCCAAGGTTCCAAGGTTACCAGGCACTTACGGTTACTCCCCTCTAGTTTTTCAGCATATGTCGCATTCCACCTGAGCTCTTTCACTATCTTTCTGGTTTTGCCAGACTAAGAAATGATGGACACCGCGACCAACTCGTTGGCTTCGATCGCGACGACCACGCTTATCGCTGCTACCACTCCAACACCCTTGGGTGCAAATACACTATATTATCATGGAACAAATTCTTCAAGCCCAGGGCAGGATCCAAATGGTGAAGGAGGAGAATGCAAGCTACTTGGTCCATTTTCTGTGTTTGTTCAGATCGCTCTTGGTGGCCTCGCATTATTATCTCTAGTCTATAAGAGATGGAGAGAACGACCACAGCGCCCGGTGAAGATCTGGGCCTTTGATGTCTCAAAACAAGTCTTCGGATCTGTGATGCTTCATATGCTGAATCTGGTCATGTCGATGTTTTCTGCGGGCCAACTGGAGATTCGAAGCTCATACAAGCCGAATCCATGCTCGTTTTACTTACTGAACCTGGGAATCGACGTGCGTTTCTACTGATCTTGCTTTGATCTCTTTCGAGGGGCTGCTGGCTAACTGATGGAATAGACTACCCTCGGTATCCCCATTCTGATCCTCCTTCTCCGCGTTCTCAACTATTTGGCATCTTACACCCCTCTTGCAAACCCCCCAGAATCGATCGAGTCTGGCAATTATGGCCAACCCCCACGCGTAACATGGTGGCTCAAACAGGCCATCATTTATTTCATGGGATTGCTTGGCATGAAGATATGCGTGTTCTTCCTCATCGAGCTCTTACCTTTCATTGTCAAGGTTGGCGACTGGGCTTTAAGGTGGACAGAAGGCAACGCCGCTGTCCAGATCTTCTTCGTCATGCTTCTTTTCCCAGTCATCATGAACGCCATCCAGTATTATATCATCGACATATTCATCAAGAAACCAGTCTCGCAATACGCGGTGGATGACACGATTGGAGATGCTGCCACAGATGATGATGATGCTCACCGCCGGGAGGCTCTTCTTGCTGGCCTGGACGAGTCATATTCTACTGATTCTGATGATGAAGAACCTGGGAAATCTCCCAGAACCACCTCGCAGTCGAAGGCCACTGCAAACGCTCTCCAGGAATCTGAGTTACTTCCTGAGGATCAGAATCCTGTTCCTCCATATGAACCTCCGAGTTCGAGTGGCAGTTGTGACGAAAATGACACGAAACCTAGTGTAACACATCGATGAATACTGCTTTGTCTTCTGACTTTTGGAAATTTCGTACCTGCTTTGTTTTCCAATGACGGTGTTGCTAGTGATCTTTAACGTGTATACGATTGTTTTGCTCTTCCATATTAGTATAATTTTTTTTTCATTCTCCTTGCTACCTACCTAGTGTGCACGCATCTAGGTTGTGCATGGATAATCAATAGTTGTATTACTCATAATTGAACTCCTCATAATCAACTAGCCATCGAGATATCTAGAGCAACATTGCATCAACCATTATCTCTGAATCTGTCTTACCACCTTCTTCATGTGGAAAACTTGCCAATCTTCTCTAAGTAGAAGATGACTAGGGTGCCAAATAAGTGTATTAAAGCTCATTTTGATGGGCATGTGAGTGTCAGTTACTCCGTAGTTACCTTTTGAATCCTGAGTTGTCGCCTTGATTTCAAGGCAACTATATATGCCGCCTTCCACACCGCTCTGATCTGCCCATTCTGGAAAAATCAAAGAAGAAAAATATTCAAGCTCCGCCTGAGGAACATTCGCAGCCTACAATTGCATTATTGCATTCAAGTATCAGTTCGGTGACTGAGTCTGCAAGCAGTTGTGCTTGATTACCGGATATTCTCACACCAACCACCATGCCTAACGTAGGGCTAAAGGAAAAGTCCAAGCGGACGACCGCCCGGTCTCCGTTCGAGAACACTACGGCCAATATTCGCCCGGAGGACTCAGATGTCGAGATGGACGACGAAACTAGCTCGGATGAGGACGATGTGCCCGAGAAAGATGAGGCGGAGAAGAAGCTAGAGCGTATGCTTTTTGGCGACGATGAGGGGTTCATGGGCGCATTGAAGAATCAGCAGGACCGCGAGGCCGGCATGGCTCTCACTCTGCACAGTGATAACGAGAGCGATGCAAGCGATGATGCCGAGGAAGACGAGGGCCAGGATTTGGCTGCTCTAGCCGATTCAGACGTATGCGACTCCACTCCCACGCGTTGACAAATGTCAGGCTTTCGATCTAACAATTCTGCTTTCATCTAGCTTTTCTTCCTTGACTCCGGCGCACCCCCAACCACTGATTTCATCCCATCGCCGGAAACCCCGTCAGACGCCGAGGATGACGAAGAAGAGGACGAACCCGCAGTATGGTACGACAGTGACGACGAGCGCCTCGCCGTGTCGCTAGCAAGCCAAGCCAGACTGCGCAAACTACGCAACACCGAAGCCGAAGATGTAGTCAGCGGCAAGGAATACGTCCGACGACTGCGCAGACAGTTCACACGCCTGCACCCGACACCGGAGTGGGCCACACCGGAAGTGAAGCGCCGCAAGACGGACTCGGATGCAGACAGCGAGGAGGAAATCGACTCAGACGACGAGAACGAAAACCTCTCCATGCAGCCTCTAGCCAAGCTCCTCCAAAATGCCTCCGACCTGACGCGCATAGAAGACAACGCGCGCTCCAGTGGAAAGCGCAAGCTGCGCCAGGAAGTCATCGACATCCAGAGACTGAAGGATATCGGCAAATCCCAACCCTCATCTGTCGACTCTCTGACCTTCCACCCGCACTACCCGCTCCTGCTCTCCTCCGGACCAGCATCCACCCTCTTCCTGCACCACATCTCTCCCTCCGCGCCCGCTCCTAACCCCCTCCTCACCTCCCTGCACATCAAGCGCACACCAATCCACACGTCCGCCTTCGCCGCACCCACAGGCAACAAAATCTTCGCCTCGGGCCGCCGACGCTACTTCCACATCTGGGACCTGGACACCGGCAAAGTCGACAAAGTCAACGGCTCCTCCGACCGCAAGGAAGAGCAAAAGTCCATGGAGCGCTTCAAGCTCTCTCCGTGTGGCCGCTTTGTCGGTCTAGTCGGCACAGCCCGCAAGGGCGGCGGTCTGATCAACGTCCTGGACGCCAACACCGCGCAGTGGATCGCGCAGGTGCGCGTCGATGGTCGCGGTGGTGTCGCAGACTTCGCCTGGTGGTCTGACGGCGAGGGTATGACAGTCGTGTCGAAGAACGGTGAGGTCTCTGAGTGGGACGGACGTGTCGGCCGTGTTGTGGCACGCTGGGTCGATGCCGGTGCTGTTGGCACGACGGTTCTCAGTCTTGGTGGCCGCTCTGGTCGGACTCAGCTTGGTGGGGATCGTTGGGTGGCTATTGGTTCTTCCAGTGGTATTGTTAACGTTTATGATCGTCGCGAATGGGCTGCTGCGTATGCGAATGCTTCTGCTGCTGAGAAGGATTCCCCGGCTCAGTCGGGTATCCCGCGTAACCCTGATCCCGTTCGTGTGCTCGATCAGCTCACTACCCCCATTAGCCATTTGGTCTTTGCGCCTGATGGGCAGATGATGGTTATGGCGAGTCGGTGGAAGCGTGATGCTTTGCGTCTTGGTATGTTTTCTGGGATCTGCTTGTGCTTTTGTGTGTTCTTTCACTAATTGTGTTTCTTTTATAGTTCACCTTCCTACCTGCACGGTATACCGTAACTGGCCTACTTCCAACACGCCATTGGGTCGCATTTCCTCGGTGGCTATCTCACCGAACTCGGAGCAGTTGGCTGTTGGTAATGAGCAGGGTGGTATCCGACTCTGGGAGATTCGGGGATAGAGGTCCGATTCTGAATAAAATATTTATGTTTTCTTGTCATATATTTACTACCCTTATAGGCACATGCTTTTCATTCTGTTGTATAATCTCTGGTAAATCAATGTGGTCTGGTATAGATTAAGGGCCGAGAGCTTGGATATCAGCCACTGCCTTGGCCTGCATACCAAGTGTTATCTAAACCTAAGGTCTCTACTGAGCTATTTTCTATTTTACCTCCTGTGTATTAAAAAAAAAGTAAAGGTAACACTTAAGGTTTCACTAGATATACACGTAATGGTGCTTTCATAGTAAGCCAATCGTTTTTTTGAGATTGTTCATAACTTTCTAGCAAAGAGAATCAAGCACGCAGAACGCCAGGGATCCGAAAGAAAAGAGTAGAGTAGGAGTAAAGCCAGGAAACACGCCATATCAAATGCAAGTCGTGTAAAAATCAAATGAAGAGTCATGGTCTCATTCGTGGGAGGGTTCTATACTGTTGGCCTTGGTCAAGGATTCTCAGTAACAAAGGGGGTATCTGGGGCAAAGAAGAAAAAAAAAGGCGCAGGGAAAAGAAAAGAAAAATATGTTAGCAAGGGTCATCTCCGGGGTGCTTTGCTAAATTTGGGCTGGGTATAAATTGGGGGG